TGTGATCCTAATTCTATTACCAATCTTTGCTTGCTAGCAACAAATTCTTTAGACTAACATAGTAGGCTAGAATCATATGCCTTGCCTAACCAATATTTACTTGAAAGATGCGAATTACAGGGCCTTATATATAAGACTAGCCATGATGATCCATTTTCCACGATCACCATTTGAAACAAACACTTGAATTTTTTGTAATTAATTCACCTCTGCTTTTATTCTGCATCAAGGCGATGGCAGAAGGAGTCCTCTTCAACATTGCAGAAGGGATCATTGGCAGGTTGACCTCCCATGCGTTCCAAGAGATGGGATTGATTTGGGGTGTCAAAGATGAGCTCCTGAAGCTTGAGGAGACAGTTGCCCAAATCCAAGCTGTTCTTCTTGATGCAGAGCAAAAGCAAGCGACTCATGCAGTCAAATTGTGGCTTCAAAGCCTAGAAGATGCTGTTTATCAAGCTGATGACGTGCTAGATGAATTTTATGCTGAAGGACAGTGGAGACAAATGATGCCCGGAAATAATCAAGTGTTAAAGCAGGTATGCATCTTCTTCTCTAGCTCAAACCAGCTTGCTTTTCGGCTAAAGATGGGTCATAAGATTAAAAGTATTAAGGAGAGACTTAATGTGATTGCATCTCGTAGAAACTTTCACTTAGAAGTGAGTCGTGAAGATACACGATTTAGAAGGGTAACTCACTCTTTTGCCCCTACGGAAACTATTATAGGGAGAAATGAAGATAAAAATGCAATTAAACAACTCTTGTTTGATACCGTCTCTGAAGAGAATGTATCAATCATTTCCATAGTCGGATTCGGAGGATTGGGAAAAACTGCACTTGCCCAACTCTTATTCAACGATCCAGAGGTCCAAACTTATTTTGAGCTGAAAATGTGGATATGTGTCTCTAATGTATTTGAGTTGGATGTACTAGTTAAGAAAATCATTCAATCTGCAACTAATGACATAGCCAAAAGTCTTGAGATTGATCAGTTGCAAAAAGAACTGAGGAAATTAATAGACGGGAAGAGATACCTCCTTGTGTTAGATGATGTTTGGAACGAGAATCGTGAAAAATGGTTTGGCTTGCAAAACTTGTTGTTGGGTGGTGCAAAAGGTAGCAAAATA